GTAGTGTTTTAAAAAATGATTCATCTTTGTATCCATGTATTAGTTATGAAACATTAAATGTCTTAAAAGAGCGAATTTTCTGTATAAAGTCAATAATTATATAAACTTTAGAATCCAAAACTTTCTATTGCCTTCACTACGCAAATGAAAGATCCGAAAACTATACCTATACAGAACGACGTGTTTTTGAAATTATAGCAAACCTTAAGGTTGACAAATTTTTATTCGTTATTGCAAAAAATGAACTTAGATCACGGTCACGTCCACGTTTTATTGTTATATGTATTTCTATTTGTATCCATCTGATGAGTTAAGCCTTTTTCAACTGATTTTTATAGTTCGTTCTTATGTTGTACTGTTACACCACTGTCCCAGGTTAGGGGGAGGGTTTAACCCTGCAACATTCTGTATGTATGTGCCTGTCCCAAGTCAGTAGCCTGTAATTCAGTGGTTGTCGTTTGTTGCTGTGTTACATATTTGTTTTTCGTTCATTTTTTTGTACATTAGTTATGCCGTTAGTTTTCTCAGTTGAATTGTTTTACATTAGTGATTTCGGGGCCTTTTATAGCGGACTATGCGGTATGGGCTTTGCTCATTGTTGAAGGCCGTACGGTGAACTATAGCTGTTAATTTCTGTGTCATGTGGTCTCTTGTGGAGAGTTGTCTCATTGGCGATCATACCACAACTTCTTTTTTATATTTAAAATATCTATCATTTTCTCCCTTCCAAGTTTACCTCTATTACTTATTATGATGTGGACAGGTCATTCTTATTGAATCTTACACAATTTGATTGGATTAAATTATTATCAGTTTACCTTCAAACTGTTTATTTTTTTTTCATACATGTACATGTATATTGATTAAATCAGAGCGTGCATGAATGTGTACAGTAACTTAAATGACCTTCAAACTGGACGAGTCCAATGGCATATTATTTTTTATCAATGAAACTAAAGGTATGAAAGGTAAGAATTGCCACAACTTATATTTTCACAAAGTTTTCCACTTATAGAATAGATAAAATATTTTTTAATAGCCTATTCCGGAGAAAAGAGAAAGTTTACAAATCAGACGTTTTATTCCATTAAACAAGTCATTTTTCGAAGAGAAATGCCGAAATACATTTTACCCACGGCTACGCCAGGTAAAATTATTGTTTATCTTAACAAAAAAAAAAACCAACATTTTTCAGTCTCATTATAATGTCATAATTACAATTAATCCCAAACAAAAGTAGTCAGTAAATAAAGTCAAAATATGTCGGATCTGCCTATTTCTGGACATCAAAATTCAATACGATCGTTTTAAGGTCAAGTTCGTCTACCTCACAAAATCTTGTTAGGCACTATAAGACAACTTGGAAGAAATGTATGATCAACAAAATAAAAACATACTGGCATAAAAAGATCTAAGAAGACGATAAAGAACAATTCTCTAGTCTACAATATATTTCTCCAATATACAATTTTGGACACTGTCAACCATTAGTATATATAACAACACCCAATCCTAAACTTATACACAAATTTACAAATTGCCGCCGAGAGTAAAAATTGCCACAGGTGGATATATTCTACAATCACACAGAGCCAAGTACAACTCAAATGGGGTGGAACCAACATGTCAGCTGTGTCAAAAAGGAGATGAAACAATATCTCATTTCCTGCTCAAATGCGAAGTACTTGAAATAGTAAGAAAACTTATGTTAGAGAAAATTATTTCAACATCCGGAAATTGTTTTCTAAAGAATATACAGTCAATAATATTGAATTACTAAAGCTCATAAGTGATCCGTATAACTATACCTTGTACTATAACAATCAGAATATATTGGACAATATATCCAAAGTACTGGAATCTCAATGCAGGAAGTTGATACATATACTCCATACAACCCGATATATCTTGATAGGAATACGGTGATACATCCAAGGATATTAATACACCGCGCGTGCGTCAAGTAATTTACTTAAGTGGGGCCCCCCTTACAATTTCACTAAAGGTTTTAGCTGGTTCTTCTGCTGTCTGAATTTTGATGAAGATATCCGGTGGTAGTTGGTTCCAGTCTTTAATGGTATTTGGAATGAAACTGTATTTTAATGTGTCTGTTTTTGTTTGAAGTCTAAGGAAATGTTGGCTGTGCATGTTCTTGGTTGTCCTTGATGGTTTTTTCAGTTGGTCAGAAGGTAAGTTTGCTTGACCGTGTATACTTTTGCAGAAAAGGATCAGTCTGTTTTGTGTACGGCGGTCTTTTAGTGATGGTAATTGCAGTTGGTCTAAAATTGCTGTCATACTTCCTGGTTCGTAGTTGTAGTTTGATGTTATAAACCTAGCCGCTCTTTTCTGTACATTTTCCAGTTGGTCTTGGAGATATAGTTGATGTGGGTCCCAGGCAGTGCTTGCATATTCTAGGACAGGTCGTATCAGTCCTTTATATGCCTGGAGTTAAACTTCAAGTGGTGAAAGGTTTCTTTTTAGTAAGCCTAATGTCCTATAAGATTTATTGCATATCTCCTCTATGTGCTTTCCCCAGTGTAGATCATTTGTGATGTTTACTCCTAGATATTTAATAGATGTTAAAAATTGGAGTTCCGTATTTTTGAGAGTGTATTTAAATGATGTAATTTTCTTCTTGCGACTCAATGTCATCATGTTGCATTTAATTGGTTGAAATCTCATATCCCAATTAGTCGCCCAGTTACCAAGGGTATCTATATCTTTCTGTAGTTCTGCACAGTCATCTTCACTTTTAATTTCTCTGTAGCATACACAGTCGTCTGCGAACAGCCTTATTTCTGATGTTACATTTTCTGCTATGTCATTGATATGGACCAGAAATAGGATGGGACCAAGAACCGTTCCTTGAGGTACACCTGATAGGACTGTCGATGTTTTTGACTTAGTCCCATTCACTATCACACACTGAGATCTTGTAGATAGAAATGCGTTAATCCAGATCAAGATGTTTTTCGGCACGCCATATTTGTGAAGTTTACTTTTTAATAGTTCGTGCGGTACGGTGTCAAATGCTTTTTCAAAATCCAAAATAAATATATCCGTTTGTTTCCTGTTGTCAATGGCAGTTGCCCAGTCATGTATTACGTTAATAAGTTGGGTTTCACAGCTGTGTCTTCTTCTAAATGCATGTTGTCGGCTATTTAATTTGTTGTGATCTTCAAAGTGCTGCATTAGGTTCGACCAAATGACATGTTCTAGTAGTTTGCAAGTGATACATGTTAGGGATACTGGTCTGTAATTACTTGGGATGGTTCTGTCGTTCTTCTTGAATAATGGGCATATGTTATAGACTGCTGAGCTATAATGATGGAAAACAACAGAAAAGGAGAAGAAAAATATAACGTTAATAAGGGTGGGCGTGTCTCAGCATAAGACCATCTTAATTTTAATATTAATATACATTAAGTCAATTTTAGATTTTAAACGTCCCTGATACATTGTTAGAAATCGGCAACCTGTACATAATAACGACAATATTCTAGTGGATAGAACTTTTAATATGTGGATAGTACTTATAGCTGTGTGAAATAACATTATTATAACTTGTTTTTGCGTGTGGTGGTGGATATCATACTCCAGATCTTGGAGGTGTGCCTTGACTGGCAGCATATATTATACAGATTACAGATATGGCCACACAAGGACTAGTTCACAAAATATAGTTTTAGAATGGAAGCAGTTTATAACAAGAGTGCACACACTGAAATGTCTGGCCTGCATTACTGATCATTGATTTTATGTTGATAGTCCTAAATATAAAGCTTTACTACAAGTAACACATAAACTGAACATGGATCAAAGAAAATGAGGCCAAGGTCAGATAAACCAAACTGGAAATACATGTACACCTTACAATCATTCCATACACAAAATAGAGTTGACCTATTGCTTATAGTTTCTAAGAAACAAACTTAACCAGGAAAATTTAACATTGACCAATGAACCATGAAAATAAGGTCAAGGGGAGATCAACCATGCCAGACAAACATGTACACCTTACAATCAATCTATGCATTAAATATAGTTGACCTATTGCTTATAGTATCTAAGAAACAAACTTAACCATGAAAATTTAACATTGACCTGAATGAACCATGAAAATGAGGTTAAGGTCAGATGATACCTGCCAGACAGACATATACACCTTACAATCATTCAATACACCAAATATAGTTGACCTATTGCTTACAGTTTAAGAAAAACAGACCAAAACACAAAACTTAACATTGAGCAATGAACAGTAAAAATGAGGTCAAGGTCAATAAAACCTGCCAGACTGACATGTATATCGTAAAATAGTTCAATACACCAAATATAATTGACCTATTGCATATTGTATTAAAAAAAAAAACCAAAACACAAAAACTTAACTTTAACCACTGAACCATGAAAATGAGGTCAAGGTCAGGGGACACCTGCCAGTTGGACATGTACACCTAACAATCATTCAATACACCAAATATAGTTGACCTATTGCTTATAGTTTAAAACAGACCAAAACACAAAAACTTAACATTGAGTAATGAACTGTGAAAATGGGGTCTAGGTCAAATAAAAACCTGCCAGACTGACAATTACATCATAAAATATTTCCATACACCAAATATAGTTGACCTATTGCATACAGTATTAGAAGAAAGAAAACCAAAACACAAAAACTTAACTTTAGCCGGACAGACGGACAAGGGTAAAACATAATGCCCCCTCCGCGTCGGCGAAGGCATAAATAATCTTTTTTTTTTTTTCAAGTAGTCACTGAACCATGAAAATGTGGTCATGGACAATGGACATATGACAGACGGAAACTTCATAACATAAGGCATCTATATACAAAGTATGAAGCATCCAGGTCTTCCACCTTCTAAAATATAAAGCTTTTAAGTTGTTAGATAACTCCGCAGCCGGATCCTCATGTCGATCTTTCTGTGAGTGAAGTCACAGGCTCGACAAAAACTATCAATGGGAATAGAAAAGAGAAGTTGAAGTCACTATCTTTTATATTTTGCAACATGCATACATTAATTTATTAATAACATAGCTTAAAATACGCACATTTAAGATCATTTTCATTTTGCAAGTTGTTTTGTCAATTATCTATCTACATTAAAATATAAATAAATAAATAACAACAAAAAGAAAAAGAAAAAACAAACACCTGATTTAAATGTTGAAAAAATGCAATGCAAGGCAGAAGCAGGCTAACACAGAGATATGTCTTGCCTTTTTGTAATTTTGATAATGCAAATGTTGAAATTAAAATAGCAATACTTTAACATGTAAGTTATGAAAATATCCAAAGTCAATGAACCTTGACTGAAGGTACATGGCTTAACAATCTCCATGGAAATGAGATGTGCCAGTGCTAAATAAAACTGCATACCAAATACTATTGACTTATCATAAGTCATTCCCTTTAAACAAACCTAAACACTATGTAAAAGTTTTAAAGTCAATGAACCATGATGAGGGGTTGGAGCTATATAATCTCAATGGAAACGAGACTTGCAAATGCCAATAAATTTGCATACCAAATATCATTGACTTAACATTAGCAGTTCATCTTAAACTGATCCAATCACAAACTGATCCATATGTAAACTAAGCAAAAGTTTCAAAGTCAATAGACCATGACTGAGGGGGCCGGGCCAAATAATCTCCATGGAAATGAGATGCGCTAATGCTTATACAACTGAATACCAATTAACATTGGCCTACCACTAATGGTTCCCCTTTAACTGACATAATCACAAACTAATACATGTAAACTAAGCAAAAAATTAAAAGTCAATAGACCATGACTGAGGGGAAAGAGCCAAACAATCTCTATGGAAATGAGATATGCCAATGCTTATACAACTGCATACCAAATATCATTTACCTACCACTAGTGGTTCCACATAAACTGACCTAATCACAAACTAATACATGTAAATTAAGTAATAGTTTTAAAGTCAATAGACCATGACTGAGGGGGCAGGGCAAAATAATCCCCATGGAAATGAGATGTGCCAATGCTAATACAACAAAATATTATCTATTGTACTTAAAAAAAACACAAGACATCAGCTACATACTGATGAGGGAAGTGAGCAGATACATTGCTTGATACAAACTTACATTATAAACTAAATGTCCAAATAAAAAAACAAAACAAATAACGCTCTCAGAAACCAAATTGGTAGAAATGGCAGTGATGAGGTTCATCGTCAGCAATGAGCAATACTACAATTACAATTACAATTCACTGAATTATCTTTTATAAAAAATACAAAATCTGCATCAAGTTAGTAATATGGTATCTGAATAGTACTGTTATTATTTAGTTTTGATTAGTATATATGTTGTGTACAAGTTGTAATTTCGTACAAATTATAATTTGTACAGGGTTTTTGTACAAGTTATCAGTATTTTGACACACACCTTCTTTCACCATGTGATACAAGTTTACCTTCAATAATTATCCAGTTCTGTGTTTTACTCACAAATTTATATACTTCAACCTAACATTAAGCACTGTCCTCTATGTCATAAAACTACAAATAAGGTCGCATGATTGGTTTAGATTATATTTTTATTTTTTTACTTATAACAAATTCTATGTCCACAAAATATATTTTAGTGTTTTTGTATAAACTTTTTGTCAGTACTATGTGCAAGACTGTAGCATGTAGTTGTGGAAATAAGACAGTGACAAGCTTAACCAAAGACACTGTGCTTATTTAATCTAGTTATGTAAAGGTATTCACAAAATACTGACAACTTGTACAAAAATACTGTACGAATTATAATTTGTACAACATTACAATTTGTACACAACATATATAAATATGTGACAACTTTAAAACAAACATTCTCCATCTGATAACCTGTGGTTATACAGGGCTAACACCATCATTTATATATACTTCGTCTCAAATCTAGCCCATCAACCTTTAAGCTCATGCAAATTTGCATGAAGTATCTACTATATCTATGGGTTTATATGATCCGTTTATCCTATTTCGACTCTTCAAAATTCAAGAGTCTATCCTAAATTGAGGTAAAATATATGGCCTTCCAAATACTGTTTCGATTCCTAACATCACTGAAGAGACGTTAATTGTCGAAATCCGGATATGGTGTATAAATTTTTGCACCTCATGTTTGCAGTATACCATCTTTTGTGCAAGTTTATTGTTTTCTGTTTGGTATTAAATTAATAATAAAGATCCATTTTGTTGCATCTTGTGATCTGTTTATTTGGCAATTGCCAATGGCAGTCAGAAGAGTTTAAGAACATCCGTTGTTCGACCTGTTAGTCAAATGTGTTTTGTTTAAATATACTTTTTCACTTTTTTGGTCTTTTGGAAAATGTTGTTTGTGCTGTATTTAGACCCCTCTACCAAGAAATTTGTTTTGCATGCACATATATATATAGATAGATAAGTCTAAATTGAAAACAAAGTTCAAATCTATGATTGCGTTGGATAAAAACTGCAATTTTTATACATGTGCATGCAAAACAAATTTCTAATTTCTAATTTAAATTAGAGGCCTCTGTGGCAGAGTGGTCTAAGTAGCTGAACTTTTTTATCACTAGCCTGTCAACACTAAAGTTGTGAGTTCAAATCCCGCATGTGGCAGGTGAGCTCGACTCCAATCTTATTTGACTAGGATTGTCAGTTTTACTTCGTGGATCTCTCAACTTACTTCGGCTTCCTTCCGCATTTAATAACTGACTGCCACGAAATAGCACAAAAGTGCTGAAAGTGGCATTAAACACCAATCAATCAATCAATAATCAATATAATGTAAATTTGCAGATCTTATATTGGTTGGCTAAATTTTTTATATATAATTGTGGTTATCCAATAGAGAATGTCTATTGTAAAGTTGTCACTTATTATATAAGTGAATATTTCTACATGTAACCATAAATTAGTCACATAAGGCATTTTCACAATTTATTGTCCTCATAAGGAGCACATTCACCAAGATTATCAGATACTTTTTTTAAAACATTTGAGACGAATAAACTACTGAACCTAAATTAATTTTCCCATTGAAATATCAACACATTGACCTTTTTCATTCATTGTTTTTTAGTGGTGCCAGATACATGTTACCTAAAATGTATTACCTGGAAAAATCATCATGTGATGCACTCTCAGGCCAAGATAATGATTTTTTTAAAAATCACAAATAAGTTTGAAATTGTATTTATATTGTTCTTGATATAAAAATGATAAAGCACGCAAATAGTTCTTACAACTTCAACCAATACTACATATCATCAGCAAAGATGCAAAAACAGATTAACGAAGTATACAGACTTGTTTTCGACCTTTTTAAAATCCACTTTACTCAATTTTAAAAAACATGTATTAATTGGTAAATCTATGAAAAAGTGATATATAGACATAAAATCTGCAGTTAAACATGTGAGGCTGGACATATTTTTTTTTTAACTCAGTTAGGAAGCAAGATCATTTCATATATATTCCTTCCAGAAAGGAAAAAAAAAATAAAGGTAGGTAGCACTTTCAAAGTGTAAAACATATATTTATTCCTGGACTACCATAATATGAAAAGCCCTTTGATAATACGGTATGCAAAAAAATTTTAACAAACATACTATAAAATTCGTAAGGGTTCCGCGGAACCCAGTGTCTCGCCTACTTTTTCTGTTAATCGCAGGCTCAACAAAAATGAGGAAGTAAATCAATAAAAATATTCCTCTTGATACTTTCTTTTGATTGTAAGAAGCTTTTGTCCAAGTTTGGTAAAAATCAAGGATAGTTTATGAATCTAATAAATGTTTAAAAACATTAACTGCAGACTGAATGTAATGTTAACTGGAAGAAAAAAAAAAATTTCCTTCTAGATACTAGCATTTGACCATAAACAAGCTTCTGTCCAAGTTTGGTACAAATCCAAAATAGTATAAGAAAGTTATTAAAATTTTAAAAACTTTAACCACAGAGTGAATGTGTTGTTTCCTGGCAGAAAATCTAAGTCCATTTAAAAGTAAAATACTGAAAAAATGGATTTATTTTTTTACAAAATTTCCTTCTAGATACTAGCTTTTGATCTAAAACAAGCTTCTGTCCAAGTTTGGTACAAATCCAAAATAGTATAAGAAAGTTATTAAAATTTTAAAAACTTTAACCACAGAGTGAATGTGTTGTTTCCTGGCAGAAAATCTAAGTCCATTTAAAAGTAAAATAAGGAAAAAATGGATTTTTTTTTTTACAAAATTTACTTCTGGATACTATCTTATGATCATAAACAAGCTTCTGTCCAAGTTTGGTAGAAACCCAGGATAGTTTAAGAAAGTTATTAAAATTTTAAAAACTTTAACCACAGAGTGAATGTAATATTTCCCGGCAGAAAAACTAAGTCCATTTATAAGTAAAATACGGAAAAAATGGAATTTTATTTTTACAAAATTTACTTCTGGATACTATCTTATAACCATAAACAAGCTTCTGTCCAAGTTTGGTAGAAATCCAGGATAGTTTAAGAAAGTTATTAAAATTTCAAAAACTTTAACCACAGAGTGAATATTTGTGGACGCCGCCGCCGCCGCCGACGGAATGTAGGATCGCTATGTCTCGCTTTTTCGACTAAAGTCGAAGGCTCGACAAAAAAGCTCTCTTATCTGCAGTGTTTTGGTTGTGAAATAATTGGCTGTCAAGAATGAGTTAAAAGGGTGGTAACAAAAAAAAAGTGATTTAACACGCAAATTTTAAGTATTTGGATCTCATTGACATCATATATTCAGTGAAAGTGTCATTCTAAAAGGTGACATATTTTGGTAAAGAGCAATTTTAGGTATGGAATGATATATATCAATATTGAGTCCACATATTGGTGGTGACTGGCCATTTATCTAGATTTTCCTTATTTTTTCCCATTATCTGTAAACTTATTTTTTTAAATGTTTGATAAATCAACATTTCTTAAGAGGGTCAGCAATAATTTTTTTTTTTCAAATTGATGTTGCGCAGCTTCACATCCTTTACAGGATTTTCATTTAAAAATATTAATCCTTGGTTCTATTTCTAGTAAATTCAGATAAGCTGTTTTACCAGAAGGTATATTTGATTAGCTTATAAACTAAACATTAGTGTTACCGGTACCCTGCCCAAAGTATGTGCCCCTCCTAAGTCACGTACATCATCAGTAGTGGTCTTTTGTTATCCAAAAAATCTCCCTGATATTAGGCATTTTTGGGTATTTGCTGTTGATAGCAACTCTTTCATAGTTTATGTTAAATTTAATAGCAACAATGTTTAGTCAGGAATGAGAGCTGGATATATTGTATAGACTCCTGTCTATTTCAATAAGTTTATGCTGATCTCTAGATATTTTTTAGTTTTTGTGAAGTTAGGTTGCTGTCTCATTTAACGAAATAAACCTTTTTGATTCATATCTTAAGGATGATAGTGTTTACGTCTAGTGTTTCACTAAAGCCAGCAACATTTTTTCATGACCAGTAATTAACTTGTTCATTGCATTAAATTAAGCAGCAGAATGCCTATTTTAACAAAATCTTTTCAAGGATATCAAAATTTAGTACATCAGATGTGCATTACATTTACATAAGACTCAACATTTATGATAAAATTGAAAATACACAGAGCAAAAGTATCAAATACATACAAGGCTGAAAAAGTAATTAAGAAATATACAGTAAAAAAATGTACAATATGGACATACATTTAGATTTTATTATCAATATTTATTAAAATACAAAATAAGCACCAACCAAAAAATAATATCAAATACATGTATATATAAATAAATGATAACTTATCATTAAAATGCTTAGTGGTAAATAAAAAGGAAAAAATATATCTATGTAATATATTTAATACGAATACATGTATAATAAATAAAAAATGACAATGGCAGTGTGAAATTGTCGATCTGTAAAATGCAATTGTATTGAATGATTTTTTCATACTGCTAGGCCTTAGCTTAAAAAATCAGAAGCTAGTTGAATACATATTGTTTATCATCAGGGAACACTGTTGTTGTAGGAAACCTGTACGACTTTTAGTGAGTTCACATTATGAAATTTGCTTCTGGATGAACCTGGGATACCTAAGTTCACACTTGTTATTCAATTCACCTCAATTTTAGGTTCCCTGCTTAACAAAAATAGACATGTACCAGTATGTACAAAAAATGTTAGTTGAATCTCTCGGTTGGATTTGATTACTTTCTCTGCATAACAAATGCAAGTTTTTCAAGTCTCAATTTTTCCCAACTCCTTTAAGGGGTTTTGAGGAAACCTACAGCACCAATCTGCCTTCCTGTGTATATGAATTCATGTATATTCTGTATAGAGTAGTGAACTCCTACTTTTTCTTGCTCACTCTTTATATAGATTGCAAGATTAACGCCAATGAAAATCAGTCCATGTTTGGCAATGGTTACTGGTAAGATGTTCATACTACCCAAAATAACCCCTGATTTTTTTCATTATCAACTTATTTGAGCAGAAACTAAAATCAAATCGGATAGAGTGAACAGAGTATTTGTTTCACAATGACTATATAGTTGAATAAATAAATTTTTTGTTTTTAAGCTAGCATTTTTGAAAAGTATGATTAAACTATAGTTTCTCCACTATGTTTGTTCAGAATGTTTTATTCCTTATCCAATTGTTAGCGTCATTTATTTCTAAATAAACTAGTAAATTAAAAAAAATAATATACTTGCCATAGCAGAAGATTCAAAGTTTGAAATGAACACATATTAATACAATGTTAACCTTCTACTTACAAAAAAAATATTTCACTTCAAGATGTTTGTTCAGAATGTTTTATTCCTGATCCTATTGTTAGCATCATTTACTTGCAAATATACCAGTAAAGTTTAAAAAAAATTTTACTAAAGTGACTTATAGTTGTTAAATTCTGTCATTTGGTTTCTGGTGGAGTGTTCGTCTCATTGGAAATTACACCACATCTTCTTATTTTTGTATTGCCATGGCAGAAGATTTATACAAATAAAACAATGTTATCCTTCTACTTATAATAAAAAAAGTAGATAGAACAACTGCTTGACTAGCTAGGGTTCAACAGATACATACTTGTGAACAAAGTAAATCATACTTGTGAACAATGTAAAATTGTATAAAGAGTTGTACAACAGGAACATAGATAATATTATAAAGCGTACTTCAAGCTTTTATTTGGCAGTTTGCTGTTCTTTTAGATAACCTCATCATTAAGTATCAATATATATATGTATACTTAATGTGGGTGTATTAACTTTCAAACAGTCTTATCATATTTTGATCTCCACTTTCCTTTGCTTCATCTAAAGGTGTACGTTGCCATCTAAACATAGAAAAAATATCACATTAAATCAAATATAAATAAATTCTGAGCCAAGCTCAGCTGGATACAACCGCAGAGGTCCAACCCTGAACAGTCTTGGCAAAAATGGACACAATATTCAAGCTTGATACAGGTCTGAATTTGGATTGTAATTAAATATTTGATACATAATAGGTTTCTGACACAGAATAAATGTAGTCAAAGAACTTAGAATTGGTTATATGATTTGAATTTATATTCATTTTTTTTGCTTTTGTGCAATACACCATGCTGTTGCAAATTGAACCCCCCCCCCTTCCAAATTTTTTTTTTTTTTACCCCCACCCCCCTTTTTTTGCAAAAAAAATAATATTTGAAGAAATTTTCTTTTTAATTTCTGAAATCTAAGAAAAAATTGTCCCCCACAATTTCTTTTTTACCCCCTCCCCCCAATTTTTTTCACCCCCCCCCCTTTTCCAAAAATAAAAAATTTCTTTCCCTCAAAATATGGTCATAATCTCAATTCAAATTTCCAATAGATTTTGCAACCATAATTACCCATTTAAATACATCATAAAAGTCTTAATTAAAAATAGAAAATGACATACACAATCATGGCTATAATTAATATAACTTAATCAGCATTTTCAAAACAGTAAGTTCTACAAATAAATTGACAGCTAATAACCTCAAGGCAGTACAACATTTCTTTATACATAATTTAAATGCAGTGTAAGGGAGGTAATTAAAACACAACATTGTACTTTTAAAGTAATTGTCCATTAACATGGAAACCCTTGCTTTTTCCCCTTTTTTGCCCACAATTCCTAAAGGGTTTGAGCTATAACCCCCAAAAGCCAATCCTAACCATCCCTTTGTGGTATGGAAACTTGTGGTATAATTTCAGAGAGATCCATACAACGTTCCAAAGTTATTGTCTGGAAACTAGAAAAATGCTTATTTGGGTCCCTTTTTGGCCCCCTAATTCCTAAACTGTTGGGACCATCACCCCCAAAATCAATCCCAATCTTCCTTTTGTGGTTATAAACCTTGTGTTTAAATTTCATAGATTTCCATTTACTTATACTAAAGTTATTGTCCGTAAACCAAATGTCTTCGGACAACGCAGAAGACAACGCCGTGATACCAATATATACCACCGCAAATTTTTTGCGGACGTATAAAAAGAAAGGCTAAGTGTAAATTTAAACTGTTGTAATGACATTATTTATAACCTGATTTAAATTAGATCTTACAAACAAGATAGATTTGTTTGTATTTTTTGTTCTTTTATGTACCTATTTACCCTGTCACATATTCATGTGCCTAGCCTAAGTCAGTAACCTTGCTAGTGTTCTTAAGTCTTATCTTTATGTTTTTACTGCTATTTTGAGAATTTGATGTTCATTGATAGACTATTAAATTATTCAAAACTTTATATGACTTCTGGGGATTTAGAGTTTGACATATTGTATAGACACTTGTGTATTGTTAAAGACTGTATGTATGTTGGATTCTTGGTGTCCTTTTATTATATGTCATTGCATTACTGTCACATTAACCTCTATCTATCATATCCTTTTATTTATGTAATTATCTGTTTATTATTGTATGCTTCCTGTGCAATGTTAGAAAATGTTAGCTTGTGATATTCTTTTGTATATGCAGTGCAATATTGCTAAGAACAGGCAATATTATGAATAGGTAAACATGGCTTCTTGCCTTTCTAAATGATGATACAGAGATATGTCTTACTTATATCTTATTTTGATATCAAATGGCATTACTTTGACATGCAAACTATGTAAAACATCAAATGTCAATGAACTATGACTAAAGGTTCATGCCAAATAATCTCAGTGGAAATGAGATATGCCAATGCTAATTTAACAACAATGTGGATTCATTTATTTTTTTGGGTATCAATTTTCGCAGATTCAGGAAAACTTGAATTTTCGTGGATATTTGATTTCTTGGTTTTACCTATCTTTGCATACAGGGCTTATAGAAAATTTGTAAGTCGTTGAACATTTGGAATCGTGGTTCACCTGTTCCCATGAAACCCACTAAAATTGGTATCCAATGAATAATAATGAATCCACAGTACTAAATATCATTGCCTTATCATATGTGGTTTGACTTTAACATGTAAACTATGCAAATATTGCAGTCATTGAACTATAACAGAGGATGCAGGGTCATTTAATCTCCATATATAGAAATGATATGTTCTTATACTGATCTATATTAACACAACTGCATACCAAATACCATTGACTTGCCATTAGTTGTTACCTAAACACAAACTTGAACATTTAAACTAAGCTAAAGTTTCAAAGTCAATAGACCATGACTGACGGAACAAATAATATTCATGAATATGAGATGTGATAACACAGATACAACTCCATACCAAAAATCATTGACTTACCATTCGTGACACCCTTCAAACTGACCTAAACACAAACTTTATCAAATTGTTGACATCAAGTCAGATGGAAACAGCATGTCCAAGTCTGACTAACTTAACTTCTTGTGGTGACACAAAATTTGTTATTGCACTTATATACTTGTAGAATATCTTTTCCCTTTGATAACCCTACTGAAAATGTAAAGTGGGATTTCACTGAAAATACCAGTGGAGTTTCATCAGAGTTCCATTGGAATACCACTGTATTACCACTGGGAAATTTGGTCGGGATTTTCATTGGACATTCATTGTTTTCCATTGGGATATCAGTGGAATATCCAGTGGGATTCCGGTGAATACTCGAGTGGAATACAGTGGAAATTCCATTGGAATACCAGTGAAAACATCGTTGAAATACCATTGTTTTCCCACTGGACATTTATTGTTTTCAACTGGGATACCAGTGGTAATTCCATTGGAAATTGTAACAATCAACCAAAGAAAACCAGTGATATTTCAATGGAAATTGACATTTCCACTGAAATGTAATTATCATTTTGCATGCACTGCTTATCTTTAAATGAATTAAAAAGAAAACTTGAAATAAGACAATAACCATTTTAATGCAAGTCAAGAATTAAAGAAATTAAAACAGTTTATACATTATCCACATTTAAGACCTTTTAAATGAAAAGATCAATTAACCTCTTTAAAATATTAATGTTGATAAATTATCATTTTTTAGTCAAAGATGTATTTACTTAATTGTACATGTAAATCATTTTTCTGGTTAAATCATTCATAAGTCCATGGTAACTTTTGGTCCTCTTGAAATCTTTCACAAATGGTTTTAATTATCAATTTTACAAATTTGTTTATTGTGCATTAAACAAACAAAAATGTCCAGTTTACATGCATCCGAAATACTTTGTCAGTTTGTTCAGTTTTCTTCATCATCCATTGATGTTATTCATGAATTAAGTCCAAAGTTTCTGCATTCCAATCCTGTTCCATTAAGTCTTCATCATGTTCATTGATTAATCTGAAAGAAAAAAAATCATACATCATAACATGCATAGAACAAGGATTTTTATAGTCTCACTATACAAATCCTCGCATAGAATTTTGAATTAAAATAACATTACAATACCATGCTCCAGTCTGCAATTATTCAAAAATATATGTTACTGGCATATTTTTTTGGTGTTTGTTTAATTTATTCACAACATTTATACACTAAGAGCAATTTAGACACATGTATGTCTATTGTTGAAGACTATGTGCAAGGATTTTTTTTATTTTATGGCTTTTTTTTACATTGAGTCTATGGGAGCAACATTCTGACTTAAACAGTGCTTAATACTGACAATGACTGAAAAATGACAAAAAAATCTTTAAGGTAGGCTATTGTTAAGACTAAAAAAAAGGTAGGTAAGGTAATTGGAACCATGCATATATTTTTATTTAGCCTCATATTATCTTTCCCTTTGTGTTGTGTTTGTTGTTGGTTTACTATCTGTGTTTACAGCTTATAGATGTATAGATGTGAATGATTAATGTATTTTCTTTCAAGTGTGGGAAGGATGAAAAAATAATTCAATAAGTACCTTTCAATAATCTTATACTCAAATTTCTCTTCTGCTGCTGGTTCGTTTGTTTTCATCGTGTTTTCATATTATTGAGTGGGTATTGATCGATGCACAGTCATCATTTTTGCAGCTTTGTACCTTCACCATGAACAATGCCTTTTAATATATGGACAACCTAAAAAAAATATGTAGACATTTTATTAATAATTTTTAATTCTGGTCATGACCTGTATGCATCATATATTACTGATATTTATCATACAATGTACATATATAATTAAGAAGCTTCTTTCATTTAAGTATAAAGATTCTAAAACACAATATTAACCTTTAGGGAATTTTTGTGTTGCATGTCCATCCAAATCAGAACATGACAAAATTAAGTTGAATGTGCCGGAAATTGTGTAGTAAACATCTTTCCTTGATTGTGAAGGCACACAATGTAATTGAATATTGAATAATAAAATTATTATTACATTCCCACCTCCCTCTTTTCAGAACACCAAATGGTCATCCTCAAAGTGTGAACTAACGGAGTCTATGAATGAAACTAAAGGGGGTGTATATCTTTTTTTAAATTTTAATTAAAAATATTCATGATCAAATGTAAAATCTCTTAAAAATTACCTGTATCTGCTGTACGTCTGCCCTACATCAGCACATCGTCTCATCGTAAATTCTTGGTTCAACAGCTAATGTCATGTCTAAATGTTCTGCCTTTAATGTCTATTTCTTTATTTATCGAAGGTTGTTGAGTATTAATAATTATTAACATGATTAATGTAACCACAGCTGGACAGGATACATACTCGTACAATATTTGTAGTTTCAAATTTGAACACATTCCGTGTATTAATGATAACGACGATCTGATTGGCCGATCGGAAATCCCGGAAATTGAGTTATCCAATCAAATCAGCGGTTATATTTATAGTCTGGTAGAAAAAATGGCAGCCTCCATGAATGTAAACATGTTTGTTGAAAAACAACATTATAGACTACAGTTTCACGAATTTTCTGCTCAAATTATGCCAAAACACTGACATTTAGCGTACAATTAATTGGAGGGGATTAAGTGAAATGTTTCTATAGATTAACTTATATGACCCGAGTTCCAGTGCCGAGTTCAGGACATGAAAATGATGAAAAATTCATCACACCGACAAAGTTAAGATACCGAAACAGTTTATAGAACAATGTGGAAAATGAAAGCCGTTCACTTTGTTTTTCTCAAAAGAACAGTAGACCAGTAACAGTTAATGAACATGATGAAGTCAAAGGAGAAATAATTATATTATTGTATACATGTAGACTGTAGTGCAGGGCAGTTGCCAGTACGGTCACTTGAAGAAAAAAACGGAGTTATCCTAACAATTCGTACAGACTGAGATAATTTCTGCAACAGATCTGTTTAAAAACGGCCCTTTTAAGAGCCATGCACATTTTTCAAAAAGAATCTTAATTGTTTTTGTTCGTTAAATCAAACAGAATCTTATTCTCAACCCAATTTGATATAAAATATTCATTTATTTATTTATATTATTGCACATTTAATTTTATTTCTTAATAGTTAAAATATATCCTTTCAATGTGTCATACTCATAGGCTATATGGTGATGCATTATATTCACCCTACATATGAGGAGCTACCATTTTACTTATTTTATATGGGGGGGGGGGGGGGGGGGTCATATTCATTTCATATTACGTTTAACCATGTAACTTTTTTGAACAAATGTTTCATATACATGTATATATGTAGGTTTATGAAATATTCATTACATCCCATATATTATCATGATTATAATATTTAATTTCTTATCAGGCCAGCAAATCATATGTTACAAATTAAATCCTTTATATAATAATCATGCACTTAATTATTTGAAAAATTTGAATTAGAAGTATATATTCCTTTAAATTTCTAAGTCCAAAATTCCACTGGAATATTTGCATTAAATCAAAAATCCACTGAAATATAAACAATAATATTCCACTGGAAATTTATTGGAAAATCTTTGGAAGTTTCATTGGAAATTTCACTGATTTTCCATTGGAATTAAAGTGTGAAAAATATTCCAGATGTTTTGGATGAAATTCTAATGGGATTCCATCGGAATATTTTTTTCCACTGAATACCAGTGTAATTTCACTGGAAATCCAGTGGAATCCCGTACTCATTTTCAGTAGGGAAAGACCTTTTAACTTCACATTTAGATACCATTTACAATAATTACATAACACAGGATTATTGCTCTTATTTCAGTGAATATTGTCATGAGTGAAATGATACATTACTGAAGCCTCCATTGCTGCCAAACAGCCATTTGTCAAGCAACATTGAACAAATGCAATACGAAGGAATATTCCAAACACACAATTTGTTACATTCTATGGGGAATAATATGCTACTCCACAATAAAACATACTTGTATTGCAATAAAGATGTGGTTTAAAAATTATTTATACGTACGCCTGCCTTATTAAAAAACTTCTTGAAAAATTGAGGATGGTTTTTAAGAACATAACAGTCATGATAACTAGATGTTACCATGCTTATCCTATTGGGTGGACAGGTCACTTCTTTCTTTTAACCATAAGACTAAGATTAAACAATACCTTGGAAAAGTAAGAAAAGCTATTGTATTCAATACTTTACTGAATATTATGTTAAATTTGAGTGTACAAGAGGTGTCTTCCCACAATGGGTCCACCTGAGCTCTGGTGTAAGCACAAAATATGGTAAAATTTGTTATTTCAATCTTTAAATATACCTGTCTTTCATAAGCTTATCAGCTCCATGCTTCAATAGATATTTAACCAAGTGAATATGTCCCTCTGCTACTGCCATATGTAAAGCTGATCTTTCATCATAGTCAATTTTATTACAAAGTTTAATGTCTGTCTGTAAATACCTGTAATTTAAAGAGAGAAAAGCAAATCACTGAAAAAGAATTTGAAATAGTATAAAAACAACAGATTTATTACTATTTAAATCACTTCATTAGACAGTGCTATGAATTGAATTTTAACGGGTACCTACTGACAATCAGGCCCTGTTTCAATAAGAATAAAAAAAACATATGTATACAAAGAAATTCATATGTGTCCTGCAATGTTAAATGGTTTTACTATCATCTATTACAAAATGAACTTAAATGGCATAATTTTAAATTGAAACTATAGTTTTCTAAGAATAGATCATAATGCAAAGAATATGATGCAAACAAAAGCAACTATAATAGTAATTTCTACCTGTTATCTTGTCAATGGAATAAAGCAGATTTTAACCAACTTTAATGAGATTTACTCGTAAATATTGTATGAAGTTATAAAGATAAGATGATTTACTGCTGAAAACAAAAACTTCAGCTAAGATGAATATCTCAAGATCAATATACACAAAAAAACAAACAGTTTAAAGGGGCATTAGCTGTCAAATTCATGTTCACTGATTTGACTCAAACTCTAATATATGATTTATAACATACAAAAACATATATCCAAATTACAATAAGTCTGAAATAAACAATTAACAATGCATGGACTCGATGATATATATCAGCATTTCCTTTGTATTTTAGTCTGGAGGCCACCTAACTAACTATCAAGATGACCTCCGAAGACTGCCAACAGTCACATAACCCGATATATATACATAAGCATAAATATAAATAGATAACGACCTCATGCAATTTGACTTTTCTAGGTCTCTTTGATTTCATGTTATAGGCTAAAAAAGATAAGTTAGTCATCAATTTTACCTGTATTAGAATGAGTTTTTTATGGATTGAGTCAGTCAAAACAATGGTTCACCTTTGTTTCACTTTCAATGTTAACATTCTTTCCCTTTTAATGACTGAACACAACTAATTCATGCGTAATCAATCTCTAGCTAATGGGTTAAATTGAAGGTCACATGAATACGGATTCAATGAGGTCGAATTATTCACAAGTGAATAATTCGTCAGTGGTGTTTTTTATCTTATTTTGACAAAATCGAACTAATCTGGCTGCTAAAATTAAAGTATTATTTCACTATTTCACTTTCATTTATGATTGAACAAAAAAAAAAATTCATAGCTAGCAAGTAATTTAATTCAAAGAAAATGTTAGCAATTACAATATGAATCTCCCACAGACACATATGACATGCTGAGAGGTAAAACTATGCACACATATATGCATGATGCATGAAACTTTTGTATTGATAACATAAAAGCTTATACTAAACAGACATGTAAAAAAATTACACAATTTCTTTAATTCAGCCAATGTCATTTTTAAAATGGCATATGACATTTAAAGTAAACAAATAAAAAAGTATATCTATCAGGTAAATTTTCTTTGATATTTAAGGTTAACAGAATTTCCAGGGTTCAAAAAATTCTACTAAGCCAAAGATACCCTTGAATACTTGTAAGGATACAAGCCCACTACAATATCTGGAATAACCTTCATCAGGAAAATTAAGGGCAAAACTTAGGAAAGCCTAAAATACTCATTGACTTCACATGTTTAAAATGAATTTTAATTGTATACCTGCGAATTGTCTTTAAATCACCTTTACAGGCTCTATTAAGAAATAGAAATATCCTTTCTTCATCTGAATGTTTGATGAAGTTTTTGTCTTCCTCCTGTACAAATAGAATATTTTTTTAGTTTGGTGTGAAATAATCATTTCAATTGTGTCTTTAAAATGTGACTTATACAATATGAACAATAAAAGCCAATAAAATATTACTTTACAGAAGAATTAATTAAAACATGAAACATAATCATGTTTTGCTTAGTTTTCACCTAGCTACTATATATAGAATAATGGCATTTTTGTTTTTGATACTGACTTTATCAGCAAGAATATCAATCGAGCCCGCTAGGGAATGGAATAGTTCGTAAAACTACTTTTATGCTTACAAAACGTTGGGATAGTTGTTCGGTTGTATGAATGAAGTTGTGTGCATTTCACTGATAAATTGATGCGGATGGATTTGAACAAGCGATGTTGCTGAACTGATACATGACGTCATTGCCTAATATTTTTCGAGTATCAAGTCCTTTCCATGATCTTAATCAAAGCACTGTAAGCGCTGTAGGCAGTTAACCAAAAACCAAGGCAAACATAATTATGAAAACTGTGGCTATGTTGCTTCATTTTTTTTAAGATTTAAAAGAACAAACATTAAACATTCATATATTGTGCATTTATGTTCATTTAACGAATTAAATATTAAGGCAAATAATTCATATTTTATCAAGGTTTTCAAAAGCAACGCATATATCAAGTATATTTTTAATAGTCATGTGTCTGCAGTGGTACAAGTTTGAAATGATTGCAGTTGTTCTAGTTAATAGTTAACGTTGGTATTAGTTGACTGTTAGTAGTTCAAGTTGACTTAGTACGAGCTTGTAATAGTATGCATGGACTTGCTTCCCTGGAAAGAAAACTGAGTTTGTGTTCTACAGTGCAAAAGTTATGAGACACAAATCAGACAAATGTTTACTACTACGGGGATCAAAGGTGAGGTCTGACTGACCTGCCCATAGTAAATGTAAATGACCCCCGCCTTCACCCCAAGTCCATGATGTCTAAGTTTGGAATAAAATGACAGGTGATTATAATAAAGTTGGTCAAACACTCTTGGGCTTGAAAGATATGTTTTCTTTAAAATGAGCCATATTAAAATGAAATTTTTTATAGAACCAGAAATTATTCAAAATATAATTAAGGTAAATTCTTTAAACCTACTCATTTTTTGCATCAATAAAATTTTATAATAAACAAGAAATAATTGTAACAGAATGCTGTTACGAAGTCTCCCAAACAAAGCTGCCATAATTATTCATTCCCATGGTCGCCTGACATTGGGCAAAGTCTAGTACACATTGATTAGGTCTAGTAAAGTGATATGCATATGTGATGCCTATGAGATTGACCTTGTATGTCATTCAAATCTGTTTGAAATGATGAACAGGAATGAATATGGTTTAGGAGTTGGTATCTCAAACTTTTACAAGTTCTTAAAACACACACAAGAGGGGATGGGGTGACCTTAGGGACTAACCCTATATTTCATTTGATTTTTTATGTTGTCCCATACATGAATATATATATGGTTTAGGGGTGGGGATCTCGACCGTTATCAAGTTTTCAAACAGGAGGGGGTGGGGTGACCCCAGTGACTTCCCCTATATTTCATTTGATTTGTTATATTGCCAAATACATGAGTATATATGGTTTAGGGGTGGGGATCTCATCTGTTTCCAAGTTATCAAACAGGAGGGGGTAGGGTGAACCTTAGGACTCTCCCTATATTTCATTTGATAAGTTCTGCTGTCCCATACATGAATATATATGGTTTAATTTAGAGGTCGGGATCTCGACTGTTTCCAAGTTCTCAAACAGGAGGGGTGGGGTGACTGCAGGGACTCCCCTATATTTCATTTGATTTGTTATATAGTCCCATACATGAGTATATATGGTTTCGGGGTGAGGATCTCGACCGTTTCCAAGTTCTCAAACAGGATGGTTTACAGTGACCATAGGAGCTGCCCCTATATTTCATTTGATTTGTTATATTGTCCCATACATGAATATATATGGTTTAGGGTGGGGATCTCGACCGTTTTCAAATTCTCAAACAGGAAGGGGTAGAGTGGCCCCAAGCACTCAACCTATATTTCATATGATTTGTTATATTGTCCCATACATGAATATATATGGTTAAGGGGTGGATCTCGACCGTTTCCAAGTTCTCAAACAGGAGGGGTGGGGTGACCCCCAAGGACTCCCCCTATATTTCATTTCATTTGTTATATTGTCACATACATGAATATGTATGGTTTATGGGATCATTATTTTTTTGTATGCTCCAATGAACAAATTATGTCTTTACGAGAAAGATATATACCTACATATTACACACAAAATCCTTCCCAATTGAAACTTACTGGTCTATTATCACACTGTAACGTGCCACTGCTAACAAAAGTGTGCATGTTTCTAAGACATATTGAAAAAATATTTTCATAATACAAAGCATGTTACAATAACTTCATATCCACGTTGCAATTAAGAATTTTGCAAACAAATCAACCTACTATGGTTTATTTCAATTTTATTGTATGATATCACTTATTTATTTATTGTGTGTCTTGCTTGTAAATGTATAAGTATATATGTAATTGTTAATGTATAATTGTTATCCTCTTGTAGCACCATACGTGTGCTTAAGTTTAAATAAATTGTCTTGTCTTGTCTTGTCTTGTCTTGGGATCTTGACCGTTTCCAAATTCTCAAACAGGAGGGGTGGGGTGACCGCAGGGACTCCCTCTATATTTCATTTGATTTATTATATTGTCCCATACATGAATATATTTGGTTTAGGGGTGGGGATCTCGACCATTTCAAAGTTCCCAAACAGGAGGGTTTGGGTGACCCCAGGGACTCCCCTGTATTTCATTTGTCATTGATTAGTTATATTGTCCCATACATGAATATATATGGTTTAGGGGTGGGGATCTCGACTGTTTCCAAATTCTCAAACAGGAGGGGTGGGGTAACCCTAGGGACTTCCCCCTATATTTCATTTGATTAGTTATATAGTCCCATACATGAATATATATGGTTTAGGGGTGGGGATCTCATCCGTTTCAAAGTTATCAAACAGGAGGGGGTAGAGTGACCCAAAGGATTCCACCTATATATCATATGATTTGCTTACATTCAGGTATCATAAAATCTAGTTGCACTATTTGCGAAAACAAAGTAAGAAACTTCCAGCTATGTTAACTGACCCTTCAAAATTGAGAAAAAAATTGCAGTAATATGTTTACACTTTAAAAGCATCTTACATGCATTATCAACATTTATCACTGATAAAGAAGATTTATACTGTCACCAGGAACATATATATTGTTAGATATACTGTTCCCAGCTGTCACATTGTATTGGATTTTGACATTAAAATTTGTCAAAAAGTAATTTTGAGTTTCTGTATCAAATATTTTTTGCTTTTTCTTTCTTTTACATATATCTTTTGGTTTCCATTTCTAGTGTTTATATTTATTTACCATGCATAGATGTATTTTGTCACCTGCCTGAAATTTTTTTTTGTAGTTGATCTCCAAAACCCGGAATTACCCTTATCCGCTTCCGGAATCGGACCCGATATTGTAATTGTCTACACGGCATCCATTGTTTTTCAATGTTGTTTTTGTCAGTCAGATACGATTTTACTCGAATTTACACATTACTTGTAGGCGATTATCTGCATAAAGCTAGCGGTTGAACAAAATGAACATCGCTGTCATGAATAATAAAGATGAAAATACGTTTTGAGATCGTTTATTTAGAGACTTTGGTAAAAAGGTTTGCAAAGTTATTTTTAATTTTCTTTCAAGTGAAAGGTCCGTCGGGCGTAGCTAGCAACCAAGTCGAGAGTCCGATTGCAAAAGTGGAAGGTCGCGGACCTCGGACCACCGCTAATTTGAATCCCTGCCTCCAAATTGAAAAGATACGAAAATTTCGTCTTCTAATTTGAAATTGCCGCCAACAGCATGAACAGTGGAACTTATTAATAGACTACTGACGTAGTTGTAGCACGTATTGACGACAAACAATATTCCTACGACTTTTGCCATTTGGGAAATCTAAACTGCTTGTCTTTAAAGATTTTCGGCGATTAAATATTTCATACAATTGTTCTATGACATCTTAGCCAAAAGCACAGGGGATAATAAACTACATAAGGATTCCCAATGTGCTCTACTTCCTATGTGCAACTTCAAAACTTTTGGGTGGTTCGACGATCATTTAAGGTTTTTTCTGGTCATATTTTTGTAATCCAGAATTAAAAGTATGAAAAAACTATTCAATTAGTTATAAATAACATTATATCCAGCTAGATAATAACAATGGCACGTATTTCAGCATTTATTGGGTAGAACACAAATCTAGGGTGCTCGCATAAGGCAGCTTAACTGCCTAAAAATATTACGCAGTATGATCAAAGGGAAAATGTACAAATTGCCGATAACTGTATATGTCAGGGTAACACCCCAAAACTGTGTATATTTACGAAGCTTGAAGAAAGAAGTTCAACAATTACACAAAACTACATGTACATTGCAGCAAAGATAACCACTATTGTAAAACCTAATGATAAGAAATGGTATTGTTTTTTAAGAAGCTATATATATCTGCAATGACAACAGCCTCTTTACATTGGCATGGCAGTAAACCTACTAACATCATTTGCAGCATGGTGTATCATGAAACAGTCTAGTTTGGCAATTACGATCCAAGGGTATGTATTTTACCTTTGTCTAAACCAAAAATTAAACCCTGTTATGATATCGTATGAATACATAGAAATTATGCTTTATCCAATTGGGAAACAAGCAAATGATTAATAAATATAAAATGATACTACCATCAAGTTGTACAGCAAATATAAGTATAAATAATTTCATCAATACAGCCTTGTTTACCAATAAAGGTTACATTATTTGTATTTATAAACTTGTTTACCAATGATGAATTAATACTTTTTCAATACAGCCCTGTCCCAAGTCATCGCAAATGGTTTTGTTACAAATTAGTTTTCTTGTTTGAATTGTTTCACATTTTCATGTCGGAGGCCCAGGGCCTTTTATAGCTGACTATACAGTATGAGTTTTCTCTTGGCTTTGTACGGTTGCCTCTGATTGCTTACATCCACTCAATGGAACTCTTGTGGATAGTTGTGTCATTTGCAATCATACCAAATCTCAGTATTTTTATACTGTACCAATGAAGATTAAATAATTTCATCAATACAACTTTGTTTACCAGTAAAGGATCAAAGGATTGCCAAAGAACCTTTACTTGTAATGAAGATGTATTTTTAGTTCTTGTCACCAACAGTACGAAATATTAACAGGATAAATAGTAATTTTGGCTATGTAAGTCCTTACTATACTTTCATCAGAGGCTGCATCCATAGCCTTTTGCAGTACACCCTTTACTTTTTCAAAATCTTCTTTGCGAGATTCCCTTCCTTTCTGCTCCCAAAATTTAATTTTTTCACTCACTAAATCAACTGGCATTTTCCAGAAGCTGTTAACAATATAACATGTGTGTACATAAAACATGTAGCTACTGTAAATTCAGAAATTATTGCGAAGTTTTTATTAATGCCAATAATACGACTGGGTTAGTATTGTAATATATAATAAGAACTCGCATTAGGAATCCTATACATATATCTATATACAGATTTGCTTGAAATCCCAATAATTAATCTCACATTTGTGTCCATTCTTCAAAAATAGCAATAATAAATGCACACAAAAGTTACTGAATTTACAGTATTATTAATGCTTTTCAAAGAATAAATTATGGTACTAGTATTAGTGATTGGAGTGATTGTTGATTGTTACTTAAATTGTGCAACACCCAGTGCAAATATTTTATGCATATTCAAGATGATAAACAAAAATAACAATTAATACAATAGATAGGTTCTGCAAAGAAGGTCCATTTGGATGAAGGGTAGGAAATATGAGGGAAAGTTGGACAGGGGCCTAAAGGAGTAGAGTCAAAACAGTTGATGAAAATATTATAGCACCATAATGGAGCTTTCACCAATGAATAGTGTTGTTATATAATTCAGAATATCACTGATGCAAAATGAACTGACTATCACTAGGATGTGTGTTTCATTAATTGACTTTTAATCAGTAAAAGAGATAACACAAGAGGATAGTAAGAGCCTGATTCACTCATCTGTCTAAATTTGCTGATAATAGTTTCTACTTATCCATTATATTTTTCAAGATAATATGCAATAAAATGCAAGGCACAGCTTGATATGACCACAGAGGTCGAATCCTGAACAGTTGGGGCAAGTATGGACACAACATTCAAGCTGGAAACAGCTCTGAATTTGGATTGTGATTAAATATTTGACACAGAAATAGGTTTCTGACACAACATGAATGTGATCTAAGAACTCAAAAATTTGAAATTAAACATTTACCTAGTATGGTCCTATATTCAAAATCTAAATACATGGTTAAATTCAGTGTATCAAAGAACCCCAATAGTTCATTTTTTTATGAAATCAAACAAAGTTTTATTTTGGACCCTTTGGACCTCAATGTGGACTAATCTGATAAAGGGGCATAAAATTCAAAATCTAAATACCAGTTAGATTCAGCATATCAAAGAACCCCATATATTCAATTTTTGTTGAAATCAAATGATGGACCCAGATTAGGACCAACTTGAAAACTGGGTCCAAAACAAAAAACCTAAATACATTTAGCATATCAAAGAACCCTAAAAAAAAATCACTTTTTGTTTAATTTTGGACCCTTTGGACCTTAATGTGGACCAATTTGAAAACCAGACTAAATATCAAAAATTTAAATACAAGGTTAGATTAAGCGTATCAAAGAACCCCAAGGCTTCAACTTTTGTTGAAATAAAAAGTTTAATGAAGGACACTTTGGACCTTATTGTGGACCATTTGAGAAAAGGGCACACAGTTCAAAATCTAAATACAAGGTTAGATTCGGCATATCAAAGAACTCCAGTAATTCAATTTTTGATAAAATCAAACAAAGTTTTATTTTGACCCTTTGGACCTTAATTGCAATTGGGACCAGTTCAATAACAAAGCCCAATCCAAAATTTAAATACACCGTTAGATTCAGCATAATAAAAATCCCAAAGAATTAAGGAGGGTATAAGTCTATGGATCTCTATGAAATTGTACCACAAGGTTCCAAAACAAGAAAGAATGGTTGGGATTGATTTTGGGGGTTATGGTTATTTTAAAATGTTGGGTACCCCCTTAATTATAAAGCATGCTGAAATTCCATGGCTGTATTTAAAGTGATTGACAGGTAAAAAATGAATAATTTTTTTTCCTATGAATGATGTGTTGTAAATAATTTACCCATAATGTTAAATTTATATCTTAAGTAATAAAGCAAGCAATAACTCCCTTAAAGTATTGAAACGAGCTTAAAAAGGAGGGAAACTCTAAAATCCCTTGTTGGAAATAACACAAATATGCCCATGGCCACTATCATGATTAGTATGACAATGACTGATGTAGATGATTACCATAGAATTAAGATTGAGACCCCACCACATATACACAATGAAAAGGATGAATTCATATCTGACATGAAATACATGTAATAAACATTCTAATGCAATTTTTATGTAACAATTTTTTTATTGGCTAGAATTAACCATCAAATCCAGGATTGACATGTCGTAACTAAGGAGTGAGCCGCCTTATTGACAATATAATCAAATAATAAAACAACATCTACCTCAAAACTGCTGTTTTGATGTGATTTAATCCAAAATTGAACTGTAGAAGTAACGTAAAAACCTAAAGTTTGAACATTGTCATTTGTATGACGTCACGTTCAGCCATGACATTTACACCAAAATTATGCATGAATTTTCATGGAATTATATTTTATTTCAAATCTATAGATATTCTTCAAGTTTCAACGAATTATTTCTTTTTGTAATGCATTAGAACGCTAATAACATATCAAAGTTTACCCATATTTGTTGGTATAACTGTTAAAAATTAATATTGATTATTGCTACAGTCATACACATTAACATTTAAGGACAACATTTTATTTTTCTGAATATTTACCTGTTTCGAGCAAATGGAGAGACTTGTCTTTCATTTAAGAGATATTTTACATCATCTAACCTTCCTTTAGCTGCAGCAACATGAAGTGGAGTTTCTTTAAGATAATCACTGCTGTCCATTTTGAAATATTTGTACCTGACAAAATGAATTTAATTATAATGAAATAAGAGGTTCATATTCTTCATAATTAAACTGTTTCACACTTACAAAAAATACAAACTTTTTATTTAAATACAATCAGTAGAGTGTAAATTGTTTTACTGGTAGTTTTGATACTGAAACTTTAAAATACTTGAAAATAATTGTAAATTTCACTGTTTTCTTCCTTCATTTGATTATAAACATTCAAAATGTATTTATATTAGGGAGCAGGACCTATTGATGATTAATAACAAAATCGGGAGGAAATGTATTTCAACCACTTATCAAGTACTGTCATTGTTGACTAATACCAATTACAAAGTAACAAAATCTATTTGATGCAAATTCAAAATATAATTTTTCAGCAGTGATGAAACAAGTACTGAAAATCCTTAAGTATTCCACATGGAAGGGAATAGGGAATAATGTATGCATCAAACTTTTCGTTATGCTCTTAACTAGAGGCTCTAAAGAGCTGTGTTGCTCTCCTTGGTCTATTTGTATCTTCAACAATGGACACTCTCCAACATTGTAGACTAGAATAGAATTCATGACAAAAATCTCTTTTTTGTTGATCTTGTATTGCTGATCATTTTTTCTGTTTACAGTTTCTCTCTTTCTTCTTCAGTTTTTGTCCAAATTACAAAAGAGGGTTAAAAAAAATAGTCATTTAAGGGCAGTAACTCCTATTAAGAGTTTACTATCTATTTCCCCTAAATTTGACTTATTTGAAGATCTTGTCTTTCTGATCATATTTGCTTTTTAAAGTGTCTCTTTCTCTATTATAGTTTTCAAGATAATAGGCAAAAATAATAAAAATTGATAATAAAATGCTCCGCAGGGCGCAGCTTGATACGACCGCAAATGTCGAACCCTGAACAGTTGGGGCAAGTATGGACACAACATTCAAGCTTGATACAGTTTTGCATTTGGATTGTGATTAAATATTTGACACAGCATAGGTTTCTGACACAGAATGAATGTGGTCTAAGAACTTAAAAATTTTAAATTGGACATTCACCTATTATGGTCTAATATCCAAAATCTAAATACATGGTTAGATTCAGCATATCAAAGAACCCCAAGAATTCAATTTTTGATGAAATCAAACAAAGTTTAATTTTGGACCCTTTTGACCTCAATGTGGACAAAGTTGATAACGGGGCCCAAAAATCAAAAATCTAAATACATGGTTAGATTCAGCATATCAAAGAACCCCATATATTCAATTTTTGTTGAAATCAAACAAAGTTTAATTTTGGACACCGATTTGGACCAACTTGAAAACTGGGCCCATAATCAAAAATATAAATACATGTTTAGATTCAGCATATCAAAGAACCTTAAGAATTCAATTTTTGTTAAAATCAAACTAAGTTTAATTTTGGACCCTTTGGACCTTAATGTAGACCAATTTGAAAACGGAACCAAAAATTAAGAATCAAAATACACGGTTAGATTCAGCATATCAAAGAACCCCAATAATTCAATTTTTGATGAAATCAAACAAAGTTTAATTTTGAACCCTTTGGACCTCAATGTGGACCAATTTAAAAACGGGGCCCAAAATCCAAAAACTAAATACACGGTTAGATTCAGCATATTAAAGAACCACAAGAATTCAAGAATAAAACCTCATTGAAATTGGTCAAGAAATAAGCAATTTATACGAAGTATCTTCTTTTGCACAATACTGTGCAATTAAATATTTCTTGCTATTGCGCAATACTGTACAATTGACAATTTCTTGCTATTGCACAATATTGTGCTATTGGATATTTCTTGCTATTGCGCAATACTGTGCAATTGAAGATTTCTTGCTATTGCGCAATACTGTGTAATTGAAGATTTCTTGCTATTGTGCAATACTGTGCAATTGAAAATTTCTTGCTATTACACAATACTTATTATATAATAATTTACACATCCTGTTTGGTGTGTATCTCCTACCATATCATTATTATTTGCTTTTAAATATAAATCAGAAATAACCAACTTAAAATGGAAAATTTTAAAAGAAAAAAAAAGAAAAAAAGAAAAAAAAGGAAAAAAAAAAAAAAATCCCCCCCCCAAATTTTTTGAACCCCCTTATGATTCATCACCCCCAAACTCAATCCCAGCCTTCCCTTTGTGGTATGGTACTTTGCAGTACAATTTCAGAGAGATCCATACACTTGAACACAGTTGTCTGGAAACTAGAAAAATGTGTTTTTTGGCCCCTTTTTGGCCCCCAATTCCTAAACGTTTCGGCAATTACCCCCAAACTCTATTCCAGCTTTCCCTTTGTGATATGGAACCTTGTAGTACAATTTCAGAAAGATCCATACACTTACACACAAGTTATTGTCATGAAACTAGAAAAATGCTTGTTTTTTGCCCCTTTTTTGGCCCCTAATTCCTAAAATTTTGAGGCAATTACCCCCAAAATCAATCCCAGCATTCCTTTTGTGATATGGAACCTTGTGGTACAATGTCTGAGAGATCCATACACTAACACACAAGTTATGTCTGAAAGTTACAAAAATGCTTATTTTTGGCCCTTTTTGGCCCCTTATTCCTTTACTGTTGGTACCATAACCCCCAAAATCAATCCCAACCTTCCTTTTGTGGTATTGAACCTTGTGGTAAAATTTCATAGAGATCCATTCACTTAAACTAAAGTTAGAGTGCGAAAACCAATGTGTCTTCGGACGACGACGACGACGACGCCAACGTCATACCAATATACGACCACAAAAATTTGTTTGCGGTCGTATAAAAATCGTCTTTACAGAGCAAGAACTCCAATAACAAGTCGCCTGAAGAATTCGTCAATGTTGACTTATTTTCAGATGTTATCCTCCTGACCATTTTTGCTTTATAATTTTTTCTCTATCTATTACAGTTTTCTACATATAAGACAAAATACACAAAAAAATGGTAGAAATTGTCTTTATAGGGCAATAACTCTAATAAGGAAATGTCTGATGATTTCAGCCATGTTAATTTATTTGTAGATCTTGTCTTGCTGATTACTTTTGCAATTTTAAGTTTCTCTCTATCTATTATAGTTTTCAAGATAATGGGTAAACGTGAAGAAAAATTCTTAAAAATTAGGTTTTTATGGGCAATAATTCCTGTAAGAAGTTGTCTGACAGTTTTGACATAATGAACAATATGTAGAGCTCAATATTCTGAGAATTTTTGTCAATGTCAAATTTTCTCTTTTTAAAGCTGTTTTCAAAATAATAAGCAAAACTTGCATTTTACCCCTATGTTCTATTTTTAGCCATGTCAGCCATCTTGGTTGGCAGGCAGGGTTTATCAGAGACTTTTTTAAACTAGATACCCCGATGATGATTATGGCTAAGTTTAGTTAAATTTGGCCCATTAGTTTCAGAGGAGAAGTTTTTTGTAAAAGTTAACTGATGACAGACGATGGACGACAGACGACAAGTGATGAGAAAAGCTCAGGTGAGTATATATGCAAGTCTAAATTGAAAACAACGTTCAAACCTATGATTGTGTTGGATAAAAACCGCAAATTTTATACATGTGCATGTAAAACAAATTTCTTGGTAGATGGGTCTAAATACAGCACAAACAACATTTTCCAAAAGACCAAAACAGTGAAAAAGTATATATTAACAAAACGCATTTGACTAACAGGTCGAACAACAGATGTTCTTAAACCCTGCTGACTGCCATTGACGATTGCCAAACAAATTGATCACCAATGAATCTTAATTCTAAATTTAATATCAAACAGACAACAATAAACTTGCGGAAAAGATGGTATACCACAAACATGAGGTGATTTTTTTTTACACCATATCCAGATTTCGACAATTAATGTCTCTTCAGTGATGTTAGGAATTGAAACAGTATTTGGAAGGCCATATAATTTACCTCAATTTAGGATAAACTCTTGAATTTTGAAGAGTCGAACTAGGATGAACGGATCATATAAACCGGAGGGAAAATATAATACAAGCCCAATCGAAAAAATATAAACAAGTCTAAATTGAAAACAACGTTCAAACCTATGACTGCGTTGGATAAAAACCGCAAATTTTATACATGTGCATGTATATATATATATATATATATATATATATATATAAAACAAATATAAATTTTAATTAAAAATAAATCAATACAGTTATGATGAAAAAAGTAAAAATTCCTATTTTCTGAAACAGTCATTAGAACTGAGGACAGAAGCAGCTTAATTTTTCATGTTTTTTTATATTCATATATATTTCTTGACTGCATTAATGATTAAAATTCATGTTCAATTTATATTACATTGAAATATATATATGTATGTTTTTGTCACAAACATGTTTTTTTTATATGACAATAAAGATTATCATTTATAAAGTATATAATATATACAGACATTTTTGGGGAAATTTTCTACCAATAGCTCTCATGGCAAAAATTGACTCATATTCTTGACTTAGTTCAGGCACTAATGAATAAAATGGTGATTGAAGAGGTTTCATAACACATCTAAGATTGAACTACAGTCATTAATGGAATGAGGGAGTCAATGTCCTGACTTGGGTGTGTCTGTTTGTTGAAATAAACACTTAATACTCCAGGGAACACTTGATTATAGGGACAATAATTTTAATATTTGTTACTTCCTTTTTTGTGAGCTGAAAATCTATAGTATCCATGTGAATACACTGGATTAAATAATATACTACTTTTTCCATCTTTCATTCTCATACCTGTCAACTGACCCGGATCCTGCGGGTGTGACCCGAGATTTTCACAATTCTGAGGGGTCACCCGGAACACCCGCCGGGTGACCAAATAACCCGGGAATTCGGAAAATAACCTGTTTTCACCCGGATTCCTAAGCCTTCAGACTGATTAGATATAAACTGATTTCTTTAAAATACCGGCAAATTCGTAATTCTTCCTGGACAAGAAGTTCAACTAGCTGTGTAAACTCAGCTCAAGTGACCCATTTCAGTGCATGGCTTCACTTGACAGCTTTGGTGTCAAACACACTGTTAATTAACACCAACTACCTTAACTTAAGGTCGTAAATAATTTGTGTATTTCATAGTTGTTTTAAAAACAATTTGAGTTACTTCCCCTTTTTTGTCAATTCACAATATACTCCTTACACTTATGATTTTTTTTTTGGTAAAAAGATTAAATCTAAAACGAATTGAATGCAAAAACATATCAGAATACCGGTAATACTTTAATTACTTTTACTATTGTTCTACCTTACATTGTATGTCATGGACTGAATATGAACAGGAATAAAGGCAATGTAACACAAATCTATCAATGGCCTCCAAGTGCAATGAAATAATAAAATGTACAGTTTTAAATTACTTTACCATGTGGACATGTTTTGGAAACTTTTTTATAAATTACAAGAAAAATGTCCCCTAAATACTGAAATTCAGATCGAAAAAGTTTGTACGCGTTATGACCTGAGACTTCATTCTTCTATGCAGGTCATCACCTGCATTCTCATTGTCATAGGTTGACAGGTATGCATTCTGAAAAACGTATCTATCATTCATTGAGATTTGAGTTTAAAACATATGAGGACCATTGCTAGGCGTTCAATAATAAGTTGTTGACTTACTTATCATTCACATTTTTTAAACTTTTTACTGCTATGATATGACATGTATGGGTTTTATTACTTTAGACTTACTTAAAATCTTGAAGTTTATGTAAATATCCCTTTGAAGCAGCCATCATTAGAACAGTCAAGGTTTCATCTTTTACTGAAAGCTTGACAAAAAAAGATTGATTTACACACATTTGTAAAATAAAACATTTTTTTTTTTAATAAACTGTTGACAAAGAGATGCGTTTCATCTGTTTAATCTTTAAAACACAATTTTTTACAATCATAGACCTAGAAGCAGCTAATGAGCATGCCTAAGTGCCACTTCCTTGATGTTTGTCATAGGTGAGACAAAAACTAAATAAAGAGCTGTGACATGAGCACATGATATGCCAACCACCCTTTTAGCTCATCTTAATGCTTTAAATGTAAAATAAGATAATCTAGAAATACTGTGAGCACTGTTCAAATGCTCAAATAGGTTAATTGTCTAACAGATGAGATTTACCTGTGATCACCTGTGTCAGGTAAACTATTTTACATCAATCGATCTTTTTGGAAGTTATTTTTTATTAAAATTAAAAACATTCATGTTTAAATCTAAATACTTTTTAGCAAAACAGATTTAGACTATCAGAAAAATGTATTTAAAACTATAAGATCATAATTTACAAAGGTGGTAAAAAAAGTTTAACACACAGAACCACTTTGATTGAAATATAAGAAGTGTATGCATGTGCACAAGTGTGATATTTATCATTTAATAATGTGTCGGGATTCATCCAAAATGATAAAAATTTTACCATTATCTTACGTTCATCTCAAGTATTTTCCTTAAGAAATAAGGTGGAAAGAACTGCTTAAACTCAATAATGCTAGATAAAAATACACGGATTTTGCACAACCGTCTCCGTTCAGTGTTCTATTGTCGTCTAGTAAATATTCGGTATTGGAAAACATGTTTATCAAATAACTAAGCTAAACTGGAAAATCCCATAACTTAGAAAGATAAAATCTAAAATTAAACTTTTTTCTTCTGATACTTTTTCTTGATCATGAAGAAGCTTTTGTCTAAGTTTTCTGTTTTTCTGTTTCTTGATCATGAAGAAGCTTTTGTCTAAGTTTTGTAACATTCCAATAATTCAATGGATCCATTTATCATTTAGATAAGGAACAATGTGTTAATTTATCTCTTTTTTTTTCAAAGCTCCATAATATTTAATATTCTATTAAGGTTTGAAGTAACTGATGTTTAAAAACTTTAACCCAAAACTGTCTCTAAATATTATCTGCAAAAACATAAGTTCATTTATCAGTAAACTAAAGATAATCAAGAAAAATATTTTACAAGTATTTGGTAGATTTAAATTACTTTTTTGATTTTAAAATTTTGTGGTTAAAAAAGTGACATTTACCCCATTATCACATCCTCTTTTCAAATAGTTCTTTGTCATCTCTAAGAAGGAACATTTTAAATGATAGATAAACATTGAACTACATGTTGCCAAATTTTTACATAGAATTTTACTAACATCACTTTATAAGTGGCTCAATAGTGTCACATTGGTATCACAATTAGGTTAACTTTAAATGTTTATAGTGAAAGACTTTATGCACTACATACCTTTGCCTTTTGCCCTACATTATTCTTATATTCCCTCAAAAGCTTTTGAATTTCTTCATTTGCATCAGTCATGGGTAATCTGGAATCTCTGTAACATTATACACATACATATGTGCAGTCAAAACATAATGACTTAATAATTAATCCATTGTCATCTTTAAACCATGCTTCAAATGTCAGTTTGTATGATTTTACAACAATCACCATGTTTAAATGATATTCATTTAGGAGCTTCTAAAATAACCATAGTTAGACAGTATGCAGAAAGAATTTCTAGGTAGCTTTCAGCTTTTTGTATAACTTGTAGGATTTAGTAGGACATTGGGTAGTTGATTGGTTTTTGGCTATTTCATGGCAGCCAGTTGTTATTGGTGGAGGAGGCAGGAGTGCCAAGAGAGAACAACCACCTCTGGCAGGAAAACTTGCAACCTAAGTCAATTAAGATTGAAGTAGTTCGCACCTGCCACATGCTGGTTTCAGAATCACAACCTCAGTATTGAACGGTTTGTGATACAGTAGATGAACTACTTAGACCACTCGGCCAACAAGGCCCCTAGTAAGACATTGAAAATAAGCAATCAGGTAAGACAATACTTTTTAAATTACTATTTTCATATTTGTACAGCAGGAAATACGAATCCTTCCATTCTACTTGAGTTCAACCAGTTTTTTTTAGCTGGTTTTAAGGTGATTTAATAACTCAACTTTCATATGTTAATTTTTGTGATATCTGATTTTCAATTTCTGTACTCTTTCTTTTGTTCATAATCATGTCCTTCCTTCATCTTGAAAAAAATATTTTTTTGGTTTTTAAAACAATTTCATCACACTGTGTTGTGCATAGAATTATTATTGGAGACCTATTAGACTGAACATGAATATTCTGTCCAACAAAATGCAGGATATAAATGTGTACAAAATTAAAATTAAATAAATAAGCCTGTCTAGCAATAAGTGAAATAAAAATTCCCCCAAAAATCCTTTTTCCCTCTCACAGAAAATTGATTGGTTGTACCCTTAGGTGTAACAAGTGTAGCAGGGATAGCTTTTTCTTTGGAGAATCTGATATGAGTTCACTCACCTCTTGTTTTGAAATTGTCTTCATTTTGCTAAATCATACAATGTCATGAACATCATAAACATGACCAAAACGGCAAAGCTCAACATTGTGAAGTTGTTTCAGTCAATATGTGATAGCATAAATTACAATTGATTTTATGAATTAAATGTGGTAGACTGTTTGTTTATATAATTTAAGATTATTAATGTAAAAAACTTTAGTTTAATGTACCTGTCTGGTATTGATACGTTAACCTTTGCCTCTTTGACAAGAAATTCAACAGCATCCACATGTCCGTTTGCAGCTGCAAGGTGCAAGGCAGTCCGTCCATCATAATCTCTCAAATTCATGTCCACTTTCTTTTCATGTAAGCTGTCAAATAATGTGAATTAAAATATTTCACAGGAATACAGAAACTTAAACCTGAGACCTGCAAATGCTTATTGACTTCTATTTTTACATCGCGATGACCTTGAGGTCAATCCGATGTATTGCTATCGCCTAGATTTCCATTATGTAAATTAGTTTTGGGTTTGTAACCGATCTATAAACATGATAAATATGCGCACATAAACGAATGCAAAATAACATTCCTTATCGTTTGATATAAATACATCTCTTCAATGAATACTGATAAAAATATTTTTGTTTACAACATAAATTAATAATATGAAAATGTTTTGTAGTTAGATATATATATATATATATAAGTAAAAAATCATTGATAATATCAATGCACACGTACCGAAAAATTGTGTTAAAGCATGCGGAAGAATATCTCAAAGAACGTTTTGAAGGACCAGTAACTCTGTAATTGTTTTTGCGGGAAAATATGAATGCCTACTCGTATCCAATCTTAGAAAAATCGAATTTTTACAGAAAAGTGTCCACCATGCACTTGCATTGCACTATTATTAGAATAGTAGAATAGAATGATATACAAATGGATGCAAATCATATATGTATGTAACTGTTATTTTAATATAATTATATAACAACAAATCAGTGTATACTGATTTGTATCACTACAATATAATACATGTAGTTATTACGGTGAAGTTGAATTTCCTGTCATTTATTCATCATCCACGCACGAACTTGTCTCAGAAAAAAATATATCTCTGTACATTAACCTCAGTTTCAGGTAAAGAGATATGTTTTTTTTTTCTGAGACAAGTGCTTTTGACCATCCTCAAGAACTTGTGGTCATCCGATGTTCAGTACTTCAGTACTTTGATTAAGCATGCTTGTGTTGTTAAATCATCCTCTTGATATTTACCCATCATTTTCTTTTATCCATTACAAATGCAGAGAGATTAAGAGAATGGGTGTAATTACTGTGATTCTATATTTGCAAATTATCATCATCATTTCACTCTATTATGTCTAAAACAAGCAAGAGGCTCTCAAGAGCCTGAATCGCTCACTTGTAATTTTTGCTTAAATCTTTCATCAATGATTATTTTTGCTTTTTAATTTAAAAATTCCGTTGAAATGTTCTTTGTATCTGTCATATTTTCTTCAAAAGCATAGAAATACATTTTACCCCTATGTTCCATTTTAGCCATAGTGGCTATGTTTCTTGACGTACAAGAAAATAAAATACCAAATTTATACCAGATACTCTGAAACTCATTCAGCCCAAGTTTGATTGAAATTGATTCAGCAGTTTCAAAGGAGAAGATTTTTTAAAGTAAGCAAACTAAATGAACAAATTGTGAAAAATTGTCTATAAAGGGCAATAACTCCTTAAGGACACATTTGACAATTTTGGTTATATTAACTTATTTGTAGACCTTACTTTGCTGAACATTTTTGATGTTCACAGTTTTTCTTTATCATTAATAATATTCAAGATAGTAACCAAAAACTGCAAAATTCCTTAAAATTACCAATTTAGTGGCAGCAACCCAACAATGGACTGTTAGATTCATCTAAAAATTTCATGGCTGATAGAACTTGGCCTAATGAACATTTTAACCTCTCATCAGATTTGCTCTAATTGCTTAAGTGTTTGAGATATAAGCCAAAAACTGCATTTTACCCCTATGTTCTAATTTTAGCCATGGCGGCCATGTTTTTTGACGAAACAGAAAATAAAACACAGTCTTTATTCTAGATCCCCAAAGGATCATTCAGCTTAAATTTGGTTGGAATTGGTTCAGTAGTTTCAGAGGAGAAGATTTTTTAAAGTTAGAAAGCATGATAAACAAATTGTGTAAAATTGTCCTTAGAGGGCAATAACTCTTTAAGGGGTAATTGACAATTTTGGTCATATTTAACTTATTTGTAGATCTTACTTTGCTGAACATATTTGAAGTGTACAGTTTATCTTTATCATTAATACTATTCAAGATAATAACCAAAAACTGCAAAATTTCCTTAAAATTACCAATTTAGTGGCAGCAACCCAACAATGGGTTATTAGATTCATCTGAAAATTTCAGGGCTGATAGAACTTCACCTAATGAACACATTTACCACAGTCAGATTTGTTCTAACTTCTTTGGTTTTTTAGATATAAGCCAAAAACTGCATTTTACCCCTATGTTCTATTTTTAGCCATGGCCGCCATGTTTTTTGACGAAACAGAAAATAAAACACAAACATTATTCTAGATACCCTAAGGATCATTCAGCTTAAGTTTGGTTGGAATTGGTTCAGTAGTTTCAGAGGAGAAGATGCGTGAAATAGTTTACACCAGACGGACAAATACGACGGACGCCAAGTGATGGCTAAAGCTCACCGTTCCACAGGAACGGTGAGCTAAAAAACATCCTTTTTCTTTGAATTTTAAAATGTCAGTATCTCTATAGGTGGTTACAATTAGTTATGCTTTACAATGACAGAAACTATCTATTTCTCTTGTAAACATTATATTAAATATTGTTCTACAACAAATATATTTCGGTGCACATTCTATATGTTTCTTGAATAATTGGCATTGGCTATACTGGTTAAAAGATTTGAAAGCCAATATTCTCATGGTAGTGTGAGTAGCTGAGACATCCAGTTCCCTACCCTTTTCATATACAATGTATTTTGAATAACAAAAATACATATTCTATCATGTGGGTCTCATTGGGGGGGACTGATCCTGGATCCCGCTTATTGTTTTGTCAGATTCCCTTATCCCGCTTATCATTGTAATAATTACGCGTGTAATTTCACATCCTGCCTGACTTCGTTTCCCGTTTTCACGCTTAATAATTTGACTTTCACATGTCATGCTTACAAAAAATCGGCCAATCGCTTGTCATGCTTAAACCCCAATGAGACCCACTATCATATATGTTTTCCACAAAATATATGTTTAGCTATCATTATTACACTATTTCATTGAGAGATAAATAGATTTGACAAAAATCTGATGCATTTATGACTGAGGTTTAAATGGCATCAGTGAAAAAATCAACATGTGATTAATTTTAGATATTTATGATTCCATCAGCAACATCCCAGCGCCTCATTCCCACCAATCATTACAAAGTAAGTTTTTTCTGATAAGGGTATACACAAATTACATGCTAGATATTGCATATTTACCTTTGCAAAGTGGAAACATCACTATTTGCTGCAGCATATATTAATCTGCAGGTCCTATAATCATCATTTTCTGTGTCCATTAACTCCTATCATATAATAAAATATATATAAAAGAAGAATGTTTCTGAGGACAGGATGCCCTTGCTCAAGTGTTGCAATTTTACAAGTTAAAATAAGGCATAACTCTAGAACAGTAAATGACTCTGCCCAAATTCGAACTCTCTATGTGTGGTATAATTCTTAGCATTGTGTATGAGTTATATAAAAATTTGCAATTCGTCTGTCATTAGATCACATGGCCCTTCAGAGCTAATGACTGATGATTAGCATGTTTCCCTGAAATAAATATAAATAGTCAGGCATGGATTCAGGAATAAGCACATATGATAGTTTCCTAGTTTTGTTGAATTGATATCAAAGATAAGCAATAATGTAAATCATAATGTTTTATCTGTATAACAGTGATATTGATTTTATGGGCCTATGTTTTCCAAATAACATGTTTATCAATTTTTTATAAAGATAGGGGAGATTCACAATTGAATCAGTTCTTAATTGGTCTGTTGTGATACTTACTGGGCAGTGATTCAAAAATTCATTATAAACAACCTCCATTGCAGAATTTTTTGCTGCTTCCCAAGGAGTAATGTTCCATCTGAATAAAAAAATATTAAAAATTGATATAATTGTTTAAACTTATCAAGCATTTTTACACAAACTACTTGACCATATGTATTTATTCAAACATTGAAGATTGTCATAGTTGGTTGGTTATCCCTACCCTGATAAATCAAACTCACTTCAATAAAAAATCCCAAAAGTCCAAGATAAAAAAATATAAATCTTAAAACATTTAACTTGATTTATCGTACCAAGTGTTGAATTACGGACCTATGGATGGATGGACAGACCGATATTGGTATACCATAATACCTCCATTCTTTGACATGCATATAAAACTTCTAGGCTGTAAAACTTAAAAAAAGTGTGATGAAAAATAAAGAGTGGAAGAAGACAGATGGATGGACAAGGTGAATGCAATATAGCTAGCAAACCTAGAGTTGGGAGTAAAATAAAAATTTTCTATAATGCATAATGTAGAAATCAGTGGTATCAACTTTCCTTACTTCCAAAGTGTCTGTAGGTTGACCTCACACAAATCTATATGGTAAAGAAAATAACAAACCTATCTCCCCCATTCTTTGCAATCCCTTGTTGGTCACATTTTCCTAACAGGAATTTAACAATATGTTCCTGGTTATCACTGACTGCAATATGAAGTGCTGTTCGTTTGTCATAATCACAAGCATCCATTTTGTAACCACACTCCTTGAAACTGTCATTAAATTAAAAAAGGTAAAAGGTGAAAAAAAAGTATTTCTAGTATAAAATGAGTACTTTCTACAGATATCAAAAAGAGCAGGATAAATTATTATAAAATAAAAATCAATATAAAAGCAATTTTACTATTGATAAATCCAGTCCTAACCTGTGTATCCTCTTGGTGATGAAGAGCTTTACATAAGGACATTTGCTTACATTGAAATCAATCTGTAGCCAAACTTTATTATAACTTTTTTTATTACAATTCAAATCACCATTTTGATTCCAATAAAAGTATTTACAAACATCTTTTAGTGTTTTTGCAATTGAATGAAAAATTGTTTTAAACCTTCCTTTTGACCAATATATCATAGGAAGCAAACATTATACAAAAAAATAAACAAACAAAACACATAGTTTGAAGGTCTCTTCAGTGCTAATTTCATTTTCCGAAACACAAATCTTACTGTCTCATCCTTTTGATATCCCCTCTAGATGCACAGTTTAGAAGCCGAACAATCTGAACATCTTCTGGTGGCAGATCCTCCTATAACACCAAGAAAATTTCAATTTAAATTGATGAGCTGTAAAAGTGTTAATCCTACCAATACTGAGGTGATGCATTAATGATTACATAATATTGGAGAAATATACTTTAGAAACACTTGTGTGTACCTTACATGTAATAAATTAAAGTATAATAGAATAATTTCATGATGAAACTGCAAACATACTATAATTTTTTAAATTCAAGATTTTTTTTCATCAATAATTGTTTATATAAATACAAAGTTTCCTACAGAAAAGAAATACAATTTAATTAGTGTATATCAATAGACATATAACAGTTGAGATTCTTATTCACTATATATAAACATAAAGCCTTAAATGTTTATCCTTTAAATTGCAATAAATTCTTTTCAACAAAATTGGTAAGGGGTTCCCCGGAACCCTGTGTCTCGCCTAGCTATTGCTTCAGACATTATCTCTTACCCAAATCATAAAAAAGTTTCAAAAAATTCTATGAATTGACAAAGTATTTAATGTGTAACAAACTTTAACCCCAGACTGTATCTACTTGTTAATTGTAAAATCAAAGCCTTAAAGGCTGTTAAAGCAATTGCTGCCTTGTTAATGTTTTTGTGACTTTTATTTTTCATCCACATGTATAAGAATTAAAGCTGACAGTAGACTTGTCTAGTGAGAAGTAAGGATGTTTTAACTTTATATCAAAACAAAAAAAGACTTATCAAGCAGAAAGTCATTTTTACCATGTTTTACATTTCCCAGGGGGACGACATGTTTACCAGGCTAACGGTGGAGTCAAATATATTTGCAGAAACATATAACTCACGAAGAAATCATAATGGATTATCCCCTTGTAGAGTGTTTATAACTGGGCAATAATTTCCAGGCTTCATTATCTTTATTGCTTTAATTTTAATTATATCATAATTGATTTAAATTTAACTATTCAGTTGAAGATTTCAACTTTCGTGACGCGATGTTCTATTGAACTATAGTTTTCTTTTCATAATAAGAATCATTCATTCATACATAAGATTAAAGATTTTGAAGATGGGACCAGCTTCTGAAATTTTCATGAAATGCACGTTAACTATGGATTAACCTGTGAACTGGCTTATGCTTTACCAATTTCATCACTAAGGCCAGAGTTTTTTTAATTTGTTGGTTTACTGATTTTTCACACGAAAGTCAGTCGGAGAAAAAAAAAAAAAAAAAAAAATCTAATAAGACAGAAACATGTAAAATATATATATATATTTGAACTTACTAAAAATATTTTAATAATGCTACTTTGTCATCATTTCTTAAATCTAAGTCCCAACCACTATTGCTCAGCTGATATGTGCCATTGTCATATAATTTCAAAAAGGGGGAACATGAAATTAAATTGTCATTTCACAAACAAGAAAAAAACAGCTCCACGTTGCTTTAATAATTTATCAACATTGTGAATAATGATCTTCAAGCTCGAAAACATGTCAAATAAAATTGCAAACACGTCGACTTTACCAGATCCATGTAAAAAAACGAAGAAGACTCGTCCACTGGAAAGACAAGGATATCGGTTTCATCCTTTGTGATGCATTCCCGTTTTTGATATCCAAATGGACGAACTTTTTTTTCAATCTATGAAACAAGAAAATTCCACGTTTGGACCGATCCATTTCATCTATAAGATGATCGATAAATCTTACGGAATTAAGACAAAAAAGGAAAACTCACCTATTTTTATGTGTTTTTAACACAGGTTTCTTTCCGCAAACAAAATTACAAAGTCAGTTATGTTCGTCTTTTTTTAGATTACAGATAATAATTAGGGTTATTATGACATTTGACACTGTCATTATATCATTTGGTTACAGAGTGGAGTCAGTATCAACAGCAATTAAAATAACAGGGTCCCTTATTTCATGGAAGTATTAAAAACATTGTAAGAGTAATTAGAACGTGTAAACTGTGCTACTTTTAATTAAAAACAAATAATGCGAGACAAGATTACATTACTATAACGTGTGTAATGATTTTACGATAATTTTATGAATGAACAATAATTTTATGAATGAACAAGAGCAACTTGACCTCTTCAAAAAAGAAACACGAATTAAACAACATAAAACCGTATAAGAGATAATTCAGTCAACAACTGAAATGATTCAATATTTTGTTGAAACATCACAAAACGCAGGTATAAAAATGCACTTTTTTCACTCGGACTTCTATGTTCTTTGATAGTCAAATGGTTGTCCCCTTACATACAATCAAAGCACTGTAAGCGCTATATGCAGTTAACCAAAAACCAAGGCAAACGTAATTATGAATACTGTGGCAGTGTTGCTTCATTTTTTTTTTTTTAAAGATTTGAAAGAACAAACATTAAACATTTGTATATTGTACATGTATGTTTATTAAATGTATTGATTATTAAGGCAAATTAATTAATATTTTATCAAGATTTTCAAAAGCAATGCATATATCAATGTATATTTTTAATGATGAGTTTGCAGTGATACAAGTTCGCAATGATTGCAGTTGTTCTAGTTGGTAGTTAACGTTGGTACCAGTTGACTTTTGGTGGTACAAATTGACGTAGTACAAGTTTGTAATAGTATGAATAGACTTGCTTCCCTGGCAGGAACACTGAGTTTGGGTTCTACAGTACAAAAGTTATGAGACACAAATCAGCCAAAGGTTTACTACTACAGGGATCAAAGGTGAGGTCTGATTGACCTGCCCAAAGTAAATGTAAATGACCCTTACCTTCACCAAGTCCATGATGTCACTCCATCCCAAGTTTGGAATAAAATGACAGGTTGTTATAAAACAGTTGGTCAAACATTCTTGGGCTTTACACTGCTTGAAAGATTTATATATTTTCTTTATATATTTTCTTTAAAATGAACAATAAATGAAAATTTTTATAGACCCAGAAATAATTCGAAAAATAATTAAAGTAAATTCAATTAATCTAGACTTATTTTTGCATCAATTAAATTTTATAATAAACAAGAAATAATTGTAACAGGATGCTGTTACGAAGTCTTCCAAACAGAGCTCCCATACATCGTCAATCCCATGGTTGCCTGACATTGGGCAAAGTCCAGTACAAATTGGTTAGGTCTAGTAAAGTGATATGCATATGTGATGCCTAGGAGATTGACCTTGTATGTCATTCAAATTTTCTTAAAATGACGAACAGGAATAAATATGGTTTAGGGGTGGGTATCTCACCGTTTACAAGTTCTCAAAAAAAAAAAAGGGGGGGGGGGGGGGGGGGGGGGGTGTTCCCCAGGAGACTCACCCTTTATTTCATTTGATTTAGTTTATTGTCCCATACAAGAATATATATGGTTTCAGGGTGGGGATCTCAATCGTTTACAAGTTTTCAAAAAGAAGGGGGTGGGGATGACCCCCGTGGACTCCCCCTATATTTGATTTGATTTGATTTATTGTCCCATACCAGAATATATGTGGTGTAGGGGTGGGGATCTCGACCGTTTACAAGTTTTCACAAAGAAGGGGGTGGGTTATCTCCAGGGACTCCCCTATATTTCATTTGATTTGTTATCTTGTCTCATACATGAATATATGGTTGAGGGGTGGGGATCTCGACAGTTTTCAAGTTTTCAAAAAGAAGGGGGTGGGGTGACTCCTGTGGACTCCCTTATATTTCATTTGATTTGTATTATTGTCCCATACAAGAATATATATGGTGTAGGGTTTGGGATATCGACCGTTTACAAGTTTTCTAAAAGAAGGGGGTGGTGGTGACCACAGGGACTCCCCCTATGTTCATTTGATTTGTTATCTTGTCCCCTACAAGAATATATACGGTTTAGGAGTGGGGATCTCGACCGTTTACAAGTTTTCAAAAAGAAGGGGTGGGGTGATCTCTGTAGACTCCCCTATATTTCATTTGATTTGTTTTATTGCATGGCCAATACAAGAAAATATATGCAGTAGGGGTGGGGATCTCGGCTGTTTACAAGTTCTCAAACAGAAGGGGGTGGGGTGATGCTGTGGATTCCCCCTATATTTCATTTGATTTGTTTTATTGTCCCATACAAGTATATATATGGTTTAGGGGTGGGGATTGCAACGGTTTACGAGATAAAAGCACATTTTCAAATTGAAGGGGATGGGATGACCCCAGGGACTCACCCTATATTTTATTTGATTTGTCCTGTTATCATTACTGAAGACTGTGTGTGTCTATCACTTACTGTTTTCAAGTAAAGGAGCTGCCATTTGATTTTATGAGGGGGGGCTAGGATGAAAAATTTTGTCCTGCATTTATTTTTAGTTGTAATCTCTGTCCTGCCTTTTTTTTTTTAGTTTATCCTGATTTTTTTGTACATAAATTGTCATCCTGCCTTTTTTTTTTTTTTGCAAAGTGTCTCATCCTGCCTTTTTTTTTACTAAAAACTCCTGTCCTGCCTATTTTTTTCAAATTTCATCCTAGCCCCCCCCCCCCCCCCCCCCATAGAAATCAAATGTTAGCTCCCTAATAGTCATTTGAAAATTGAAAAAAAAATTGAAAAAAAATAAAATCCCATAGGGTTCTATAGTAAACCCCTCCCTTATTAAGGCCCCTCAAAATACCCCTAAATAGACCCCAATGCACAAACAAAAGATTGATGGCTACGCTAGACATGTTAGTCTTACATTTTATGAAACCCTAAGTAAATCTGACAAGCGGTTCAAGTTGTCTTTTTAGACGGTCCGAGTGGACTCGGTCCGACTTGTCTCGGGGACGAGTTGTCCACATTTCGTAAAACATCCCACTAACGTCGATTTTCGGATTTGTTTCATTCATAAACAACAACAACTTTGGCAAGTCAGTGATAAACGGAATCATATAAAAGAAAGGAATTTAAATGTGCATACATTTAATTGAAATCAATTAAATAATCACAATCTTCTTAAACATGTTAAACGAAAAGAACATCATGATTAACAAAACTTACTTTATAACATCAGAATACTTACTAGCTTACAAACTTACGGTTCGTGTAAGTTGAA